CTTCAAGTCTCTGAAAATTAGCGTGAAACGGAAAATCAGAAGTAAATTAGAGTTTTGATATGTGGCTGTGGGGAAAAAAAAAAAATCATCTGAAGCTCAAAAGGTCTGCAAGCAAATTAAACTTGGTCGATCAAGGAGGATCGAAATTTTAATTATCTTCATAAACTTGTTTAAAAAGAGGTCAGTTGTCACACTTTTCGAAGGACGAAGGTCAGGGCACGGAAAGATCAACATGAACATATTGTAAAAACTAGTGCTTCCAGTTCTTAATACGAGAACAGGTCAACTAATTTGAATAGATTAATAAAATTAATTGTGTTATTTTTTAAAAATATTCTTATTAATTATGTGTATTAGCTATATAACTATCATTTGATGACACTTCTAACATGTGCTACTAGCCAACTACTATAAAGGCTATCTTAAAAATAAATAAATATAAAAGACAAAATAGATTAGGATCTTATATTTAGAATCAAATTAAATGTCAAAATAGCTTTTATATTAAAAATAAAAGGTGGTATTTTGATTGCTTTCTTTAGATCGGACGCACGAAATGAGCCTCAATATTAGTTCAAAGATTTAGCCAGAATTTGAAAACTCTTCAGGCTATAGGCTATAGCTCATTAATTTGTTTGTTATTATTTTGGTCTTTGGATAGATATTTTTTAATTTTAATTTAGTTTAGTATTATATTAATGTGGCGTACTTCTATATAAAAATTTTTTTGTTTCATGTGCCAAGGTTGTTACGAAACTTGTCATCTTCATTTTCCTTTTCTTAACCAAACCTCAACCCCGTTAATTTTATTTCTTTTTGTTTTTTTAAGGGAGAGAGCGAGAATAATGGAGCGTTTGTTAATTAGCGTCAACTCTCAATTATCATTATCACTACAATTTGCCCTTCTTTTTTCAATGAATTTGCATATTTCCCACTAAGAATAAGTGAATGCAATGATCAGGTCAAAATAATTATAGAATGTACTTATTAAGGTTCCAAATTTGCTTCTTAATTAATACAACATCGTCATTATCAATTTTTGTTGTTTAATTACGCAACCCATCATTTGTTATTGTTCACTTGATGACTGGTTGCCTTGTAGCGTGGTATCGCAGCCTACTTTCTCTGCGACTAATGCGAAAATCATGTTCAAACTAGGATCTGATCAAGCAAATAATTAATGTATATTTTTTCCTGAAAAAAACATGAAATTAGCTTATTCATTTCATAAAAAATATTCATCTCGTACGGTATTTGATGATCTTAAACGAAAATTTTTATTTTATTACCAGATTTAATTTTGAACAGCACACGCCATGCATATTAAAATTCCACTCACCGTCACAATTCACGACTCTTAAAAAAGGTGAGATAAGGCATGAGTAGAGGTCAACGATTTAAAGTAATTATACGATTAAGAAAATATCCAAATACAATTGACGTATACTTTTTTATTAAAAACTTAATACTACTATAGTTCAAAATGATTAAAAAGTCAAACAACACAGGACAGCCCTGGCATTTTCTCCCGCACACGATAATTTTGTACATGCAGTTGACTTTCATTTCATGACCATCTTAATAGTACTACGTCACATGAAAGGGAATTAGCTGAGATAAAATTATTTTTGAAAAAAAAAATCTTCACGCCTATAACGCCACTTATACGGTGCTTAATTTGATTGAGATTGTCTTGTGAATTATTAATCAGTCTAATTTGACATGAAACTCATAGGCATTGTAATCAGACGGTGACGGTTTCGATGGCACGAGCAGAGCCAATTGAGGAACGTATTCGAAAGAATTATATAAATAAATAAATTGATCTTATGGACTAGCCGAGTATGCTACGTTTTTTTTTGGGGGGGGGGGATGGAGCGCGCTTTTATTTTCATTTAATGTGTTTTGTACGTACTATAAAATTTGTGTTACTGGTTTTCTGATCTCCCAAAGGCCGCAAGTGACCATTGGAGGCACCATCCTTGAAGTCTAAAACTGGGGGGGGGGGGGGGAGAATGACATATTCCATCACATTCATACATACCAGCCATCAATCAATGTTCAGCCAACTAGATACATATCCAGGTCAAAAAAAACTAACTATATACTCTTGTCTGTAATATAAGATTCTGTTTGATTTTTATTTTGGTTTTAAATATAAGATCCCAATCCACTTTGTCTTTCATATTTATATATTTTTTTTTCAAAATAGCCCTTCTAGCAATGATAGTTATAGTCAATACACTTGATTAACAAGGATATTTTAAGAAAGACAACACCTATTTAGGACAAATAACTAACTCAACTTACTTTTTTAATTTCTTCAAATTAGTCAACTGGCTCTTATAATTAGGACCGGAGGTAGTACATATATAATCAGGGTATAATATTAGTTAATGCTTTGACTTTTGGGGAGTGTATCTGTATATGTATCAATATCACATATGGTTGGATTAGATTATCACCAGCCAGCGCTGACTTCATCCCGATCGACGACCTTTTCTTCGTTAATTTTGAAGAAAAAAAGAAGGAGGTGGGGGGGAGGCCTCAAAGCTGTATCTCTCATGGAGAGCAAACCTCAAGAGAGAAGTTGCTTTTGTGTGTTCGGATGATACCACCACTAAAGGGGAGCAAGCTAAGGAAAATCGTTAATTTCCTCAAAAGAAATGTTAGCAGCAAATGGAAGTTTGTTTATCTGATTCAAATTCTGATCATTTGGGATGGGAGTGGCTTGAGGGCTACCAAACCGCGTTACTGTGAGGCTTGCGTTATGTCAAAGTTGCTTATTAATTTGTTTGGATTCTTCTGTATTGCCTTTTCTATTTGTTTTGCTATTTCCCTTTGTCCAAAATTATGAAACTACTCTGAGCATCAATAAATTAAATTTGCCATCATTAAAAGAAAAAAACATAAAAATTGCCATTGTATGTCATGTTCCCTGGCTTCTCACCATAGGAATCTTAATCGGGCTATAGGAAAAAGGACACGTTTGGGCCGCTTCGCACTTTTAATCGGGCTCACTCGAGTCTAAAATCTGGGCCCACTCAACCCAACCTACGCTCGATTTTTTTTTTTTCCTCACGCTCTTCCGTCTTGTTGCATTAAGTGGGCAGATTAATTGGTGGAGGGAGGCTTACCAAAAAAACAAAAAAACTGGTGGAGGGAGGGGATTCGATCCCCATCACGTCGCATGAGGAGAAATCCTAAAATAGAGATGTCTAGATTAATGTTTGAGGGTATAATATAAGTTCGTTCTGCCCAATATTAGTATCATCTAGAAGGAGTCATTCAAGTATCCTGTTCTTGACTTGAGTTGAGTTCGGACCTTGTCTAAAATTTTTGTATAAAAAAAAAAATTAGTGGGATGCTAGGAGCACACTCAACTTTTTATAGCCATGTATTTGCCACTCCAATAGACAACTTGTTCATAACAATGGACTTCGCGGTATGCATGGCTGTATATCATATGTACGAGGAAAGGATCGTGGCTGTTATATATATGGCTTCTCGTCTAGCCCCTGCATTACCATTAATTAAATTTACACATGGATCAACACAAACTCAAGTACTGGTATTATACAATAGTCTCCAAGAGTTCACTTTTTTTTTTTTTTCCCAAACCATCAATTAAGACGCGTGCCGGATCGCTATCAATGGAGAGTGTCGCGTACGATGAGTAGTAAATAAAGAGCATGAGACAGCGTCGCATATTTATTTGATACTGTAAAGTTAAAAGCAGTGATATTTGGTAGAATATCACAAAATGAGGCATCTATTTGATATGCAGGTAGCTGCTCTCGTCTTGTCAAAGCGTAAGCACCATTAACTGATTGATTGATGTTTATAATGATCGGGAGACATGAGAAGGTGGAGGGGCAGTGTGGGCAATGGATGTATCATGGGCATGATGAATAAAGTGGTCAAAATATTGTACTCAGGAAAGCCCAAGCTTTAAGCTCATGCGTAGATATGGAGAATTATATGATATGCTTTGCTTAATCAGAACCCACAAAGCAAGTGATGAACCACAAGAGGCGGCGCTGATCCATGTTGGCGTACCAACGTTAACGCCATTCACCATTCCTTGCGTACGCCAAGAATCTCTCTCTTCCTCTAACCCATATTGATATATATTACACTGCCAAAACCCTTACCTCCACACAAACACATACACACTATATATGTTACTTGGCTTTTAGGGGACCGACTACTTCCATGCCGGGGATGCTCTGATCGACTTGTTTATTCTTTTTCTCTTAAGAAGTGAAAAAAGTCATTTCAATCACTCAGTTAGTGCATATTCCTCGAAGTAACTGCATCGCCTTAATTTGTATACGGAACTATGGAAGTTACAAAATCAAATGAAGTAGTGGACCGCGAAAATGAACAGCAAGTGTGTGGGTGAGTATATGAGCAGAAGTTGAATGGTAGGCGGGAAAACCCGGCCAAAAGACGCAGTATAATGCTGCCAGACAATACTTGTAACGGACGCCAAATGATTATTGGGAGGTAAAGACTGAGATATGTGAAGGAAATAGATTGATTGGGGTGGAATTGACGTCGTGATTATTGCCCACACTGAGGCAGTGACTATAATAAAACAGTGGGTTGGGTCAACTCCACATGAATTCCGTCCCCCGATTAAGCGCCTGTGTCTGTGTGCGTCGTGCACCATTCCGCCATCTCAATTCAATAATATGCATGCCTCTTTTCTTTTCTTTTTTTTTTTTTGGCCAAAAGATAAATCGGAGATCGAGGGGTAGCATTGGACGGATGGATGAAAGAGAGGTAAGTTATTTAAAAAGGAATGACGAGAGAAGAGAAAGAGACACAATAAGGGAAGGTGAATAAAAGGCAAATATTAAAAAGGGAAGGGGGAAAGTGGGGGGAAAATTTGTGGTTCGAGGCTTGCGTTCCAATCCTCCAGAGAGAGGAATCGTTGAGAAAAAGCAATGGGTTTGCTTCAAAGCCAACCGAATCTCACTCCTTTCCTCGCCCTTCTCATGCTACTTCCTCCTTCATTTCTCTCTCCTTCCTTTGCTGCACAATTCATAATAGTATTCCTATATATAGCCTTCTCAGGTTGGGAACTCAGCCCTGGCAGATTCAACCCTTCACCCTTTTGCCCTCTCTACTTCTATCCAATCCTTCTCACGCCGCCAACATCCCCATATCTCTATGTTCATTTATATTCGTTAGCTCCCACAAACTCAACTCCCTTCAACATCTCTCATCTCTCTTCATTATTAGGGTTCAGTGCTGACTTGACTCGTTAATCATGGAGGATATCATTCAAGAGGAAGTTATGGTGGGGTGCAAGGATCAGGCACAAATCATGAAGGGCAAGCGTACCAAGCGTCAAAGAGCACCATCCCCACTAAGGCTAGCCATAGCCATGCCTTGCGCAACAGCCAGCAGCAATGAGATCTGTTCCGGCGGGTCCGACGTCGCAAACACGTCCTCATCTGAATTGAGGGACAGCACGCCGTCAACGACGATGCAGACGGAGGAAGAGGAGGACATGGCCAATTGTTTGATTCTTTTGGCTCAAGGCAAATTCTCGCACCCCGTGGGTGTGCCCAAGGATGGGGCACACCTTTACCAGTGCAAGACTTGTGACCGAGGCTTCCCTTCATTCCGAGCGCTTGGAGGACACAGAGCCAGACACAAGAAGACGAAGCCCAACCCGGAAGACAGTAACCATGTTGGTTGCGACGATTACTGTACCGGCACTGCTCTCTCCTTGCAATTATCAAGTAGCAAGGTTTCTTCGTATAACGGTAACAAATCATCGTCCAAAGTTCATGAATGTTCCATTTGTGGGGCTGAGTTCTCTTCCGGGCAAGCCTTGGGGGGTCACATGAGAAGGCATAGAACCTTGGTGAACGCTTCAGCAACTACCACTATCACCAGCAGCCCCGAGGTCAGGAAACCCAGAAACGTCTTGAAGTTGGACTTGAATCTTCCTGCGCCTGATGAAGATCATGATCATCGCGCTGAATCCAAGTTTCCCTTTCACTCCAAAGACTCTGTCCTCGTCTTCTCGGCGTCTCCTTTGGTGGATTGTCCTTACTGATCAAGTATTGTGGATTTATTAACCTCGCCGAGAAACAAACTTGATTTCTTTCTCTTTTCGCTCAGGTTAATGTGTATCAGATTAATGCCCATTCTTTGATAATTGCCTTCCAATATTCTTTTAATATTGTTCCATTGATTCGCCTTTACTACCCAATCAAAATTGGATTGGATTCACAACCTCTTCATTTGTTTTCACGAGCAAGTAATTTATGAAAGAGAAAGAGAAAACAAAAGTTGAGGGGTATCAAAGGAAAAGAAACACAGTAATCCTATGCTACGGGTTCGCCACCGCCCACCAACAAAACCTCAAACCCAAAGTACGTAGTGGATTACATCATTTGGGATATCTTCTTTCGTTTTCGAGCGCGACGAGTCCCGCTGATCGCAAAAAATGGCACCACGATATAAAATAGTTGTACTGGACAAAAAAAAAGGAGGTACTTTGGACGAGTATTTTTTTTTTCACCTGACTTTTGGACGATTATATTAGATACTATATCATGTGATTTTACAATATAATTCTCCCGTCCTTATTAATATACAATATATATAATTGTTGAGTTAATTTAGGTCTTAAATATAAGATCTATTCAGTTTTTCTAAATTAATCTTATTAATACTTTTTTAACCATAATCAAATAGGAAAGGGAGTGAGGATACCAAAGAAAATGATTATGGTATTTAGAAAAAATATATCATATCTCTTATAATTAACTTACTTAACTAATTTTTCTAATTTAATCAAATTAGTTAAATAAGTCTTATATTAAAAATCAGATGAATAGTATTTTGAATTAACTTGTCAGCACTTCGATTCAAGTGATGGAGTTTGCATTTTTTAGAAGTAAAATGATGCACCTAGACAATCATTACAAAGTTAAATAGACCTATGACCAGTAATTTATTTGATATACAGGATAAATATAAGCTCTTGAAAAATATTTTTTTTCATCTTATAGAAAATTAGAGGAATAGTCATCCACGCAGCTTATGATTTATTATGGATTATATGCGTGGATGGTATTTTATATTGATGAGCTGCATCATTCACTCCAGACTGGGCGAGAGTCACCCACAGGCCACAGCTTATTTGGGTGGAAGACGAACCTATAGTGTTATTTGTTCCAACATAAACATATGTAGTCAAATTACGTGGGACACGTTTCTCCACAAGCATCGCTTAGTCAACGTTTTGACCTAGAATACTAAAAGGAAAAATGTGGGATTATGGTGATTTCGACCCCACATCTGGTCCTTACAAGATAAATCACACGCACAAAAGGACCGGTCCGAACTTGGAACTAACGAAGAATAGGGGTCAGGTCAACTGTGTGTGTAGTGGAAGGTTGTCGGCAACAAAAGATGGTGAGATTTCGAGATTGCCAGTGACAGAGGTTGAATATATGATTGTCCTTTCGATAGAAAAAATAAAGGGAAGAATATATGATGGTGCTGTATATGTTTTACATGGTGGGTGGAATAAAAGTGGCTGGGAAGCTTTAATTTCCAGCAACGTACTAATTATTTGCGTGCTCCCTTTTTGACTCCATTTTTAACCCACTCAGCAATCGAACCCTTCTAACTTCTACAGGATAATGCTTCTCCTCTTCCCTTTATAACTTACTTTCGTCTTTTCTTTTTAGGAATACAAATAACGACGCGAGTTTGTGGTCACGGTGAGGCTAAGTTTTTTTTCCCTGTGGATATCCTTTGATTGAATCTCCTCTCTCTAGCCTCCGCTGATCATGATAGCCAGGCATTAAAAACCGATTCCGCCATTGAACCGAAGCTGACAGATTGATTCACTGTTCAGTGGTCGGGCAGTGATTGAACCAGAATCAGATCGGTCTGGACTAAATTAATACATTTTAACTATATAATATTTTAAAGAAAGATATAAAAGGTAAAAGATAGTTTTATTCTTCTTCAGATCTCTATTTTGAGCTATTTTATAGAAGTTGCTGGTGGTTCTTGCTACTATTTGAAGTGATAGACATCATTTTATCCTGAGTTTTTCTTCTGCTTTTTATGTATTCATTATCTTTAACATGCTTTCTCTTAGCTATAGAATGTTGGTTTGGTTGATACGTTCATGGTTTTACCAACTTGGTTTTATACAAAATAATATCGAGACATGAAGGCAAGACATATTTATAAAAGATAATAAACATAATCTGAGCGCCATTTATCATTTGTACTACAAAGTATAATGCAACGGGCAGACAATGACTAGTCAGAAACGAAGGTTTTTTTTTTTTTTTTTTTTTTGGGGCCTGGCTTAAATATACAAGGTGTGTCCAAGCTGGGCTAATAAAGATTCACCGTCCACAATGCTGCATCTTAGGAGCAACAAGCACTGGTTTCAGATGATTTGGGTTCCTGTTTCTGCTTTAAAACATTCCTTTTTACCGCGGTTGATCCTTCTTCCAAAAGGCTAGGAACTTCCATTATCTATCAAACAATACCCAATTTGTTATATCCATGTCTAGTTAACAATGCGCAGAATAATCTGAGTCTCCAAAATGTACCTTTAGAGCAAGTTCCTCGAAGCATTTCTCCACGTTTTCTCTAGTTTTAGCACTGCATTCCAGAAACAAGGAGCCCAACTCTTTGGCAAGAACCAGTCCCTCTTCTATACTCACAACCCTTTCAGAATCCTAAACACAAATAAATAACAGTCACGTAAACTAATGAACAGATCACTTCAAGAAAAAAGTTGCGCAAGGACAAGAACCCTCAAAAGATGATTATCCTAAGCATGCAGGGCTTGCCCTTAGGAAAGGGACGCTTTTCATTTAATTTATTAAGGCCTTATCCCGTTGCCTATGTCACCATTGTTTATTCTGCCTAAAACTGTCGCAGTATAAATTGATTAGACTTGTGCCTCACTGAGCAGAGACACATGGTCATGGAAGATAGAACCCGAATTTTCATTCATTACCCCAGTATATGGAGATAAGATCAAAAATTCATAATTCATGATACCACAAAAAATATATTTCCCGGCAATTCTATTGATGGAAGATTTCCCTGTAATCACCAGTTCGTTCCCATAACTTGTATATACAAAGTACAAACACAAAATCATAGCAGAAATTTTACTCTGTCAACTTTGTTGCCAACCAGCATCTTCACGCAATTCTGATTAGTTGAATAGAGTTCCACTTCCTTAGACCATATTTCTGATAAGTTTGTAAATGAGTCTCTCCTTGTAACATCATAGACTGAAACGAAAGCAAATAAGCACTGTGTTATACCAATTCCAAATCACTGATGTTGTTAACAATCGCTCACATACTAAGACCCAAAGTCATAAAGGCATGGCCTGAAACTGTAATTCCCAATAAAGGAAATTATTCCCAGGAAATTCTTAATTTGATCATCATATATCAGGCCTCACTCCAACACAACTGATGCCAAGCCATGACCATCAATTACAGTATCAAGAGTCATAATATAGTTTAAAGCTAGCTTCACCTACCGGATTTTGCATAAAGAAATTCTCTACAGAGGCCTCTAGCCAGAACTCAACATGCATATAAATTTTAGAACAAGTTTAGCATACCCAGAATGATTCCTTGCGCTCCTCTATAATATGAGCTTGTTAGAGTTCTGAACCTCTCCTGCCCAGCTGCAACATATATAATGTTTTATTAAGTGAAAGCATTACTGAACAGTCACTTGTGTCAATGGACATATACTCCACATGCTATGACTCAGATAAAGGATATATTCTATTCCATCTGTTTGCTTCCAATATAAATGCTTCCACAAGTCTAGTTGCAGAGGGAATATTAATGAGAAAAAAGAGCATAATTTCAGGAATCAGATGGAAGCACAAGATTTGAGTGCAAGTTACCAGTGTCCCAGATTGTTAATTTTAATTTCTTCCCGCCTACCGTGAGGTGCTTGATCTTAAAATCAACGCCTGCACATGATGGAGACAAAGGAAAAGTTAGATTAGATCATTTCAGAAACGGAAAGCAGCTTCTAAAAGGTTCGAAGTTGGTCTGCCAACTTATCATTGAAACCAATTTAAGAAGTTCCCAGAAAGTGGATTGTAAATTTAGGAAAGGAAATCAGAAGACTCTGTTTGCTTGACACGAATCTAAAAGAAATATCAAATGAAATCCGTCGGTTGTTTAGTTCAGATTGGGGGTGGAAAATAGCAATCAATATATTAGTGTCTTGTCATGACAGGTTCAAGCCCAAGATTTCCTGAGCAACCTGACAGAATGAATAAGAAAATGAGGGATTAGATAAATACCAATGGTGGGGGCAAGATCTTCAAGAGAGTTTGAAATGAAGCTGACGAGTAGACTGCTTTTTCCCACACCAGAGTCGCCGATCAACAAGATCTTGAAAGAGAGATCATACCCACTGCTCTGACCTGAAGATGAACTCATTTTCTCTCTCGCTCTCCCCCCTTTCTCTGTTTGATGAATCCTTTTTCAATGGACTCCCTCTGCCTATCTCTCTAGAAAGTACAGTGAAAGAAACGTACATATATAAGGATGTGGGGGGAGGGAGAGAGCGCAAAAGGGGAAGAAAAGCTTAAAGATACCCCTGTAATGAAGTGCAATGGGGCATCTTTCATTTGATTAAAGAAAACGGCCACCTCGGTCTGAGTTTCTTCAGACTCAACTGACTCACCAAGGCATTTATTCTTTTCTTTTTCTGAGCTTATAAATTCCCCAACTTCAAATATCAACCAATATGCGGTGCTCAAGTTACAAATTCCAAGCCCCACGGGTGAGGGATTGGGATGGTTTGCTCCGTAAGCAATGCCCTTTAAAGATGTTTGCTTTTGTGTTTTCACTTCTTGGTAAGGTATAAGGCACTTTTTTTAAGCCAACAATCATTAAACCGAATAAAAAAGGGGTGCCAATCGATTTAGGAAGGCACAGACCCTTGAAAACAGCACCATCCTTGCCTTTGATCTCTTTACTGAAAACCTTCAGTGCCAGAGCTTTTTCGTTTTCATTTCCGGGAACTTGCTCAAGCAAAATCTTTAACGTGAACAATACCTTAATTGCGTCTAATTTGATGCCCATTAGTCTGCTACACACAGATCATATAAAAGGCTAATCATTTTGCATCTGGGATGATCTTAATACTACCTCCCGTGCTAATTATAAGAGTCAGTTGACTTATTTGAAGAGATTAAGGAAATAAGTTGAGTTAGTTATTATTGTCTTTCCTAAAATATCCTTACTAATCAAGTGTATTAACTATAATTATAATTATTAGAAGGACTATATTAAAAAAAATTAAGTAAATATGAGAGACAAAGTGGATGGAGGTCTTATATTTATAACCAAAATAAAAATCAAACAGGATTTTATATTAAGAATAGGAGGTAGAACTGAAAAAGGGGGCCGAAACATTTAAAGAATGGATGTGGGTGAGGCAGTTGGGCGTGAAAGATCAAGATGGCATGACCCATCGGGTGAAGAGGCCCTCTCAAATGGCAGAAAAGCAAAATAACAAAACCTCCGGTGTGATGTTGGGTGGGAGGTCACTATTTGCTTTTCCTTTCATTACAGGATTCTTCACGACTCATAATACACTAATATGCTCACTCTTTACACCAAAGATGTTTCCTTTCCCAAGACACTTCTTGCACGCAGACGTTATTTTAATCCTCAAAATTAATGAGACATATAATAGCTCCATAACAATGCCTTTCCGTGGAACTTTTTTCTGATGTTGGCGGGACTGAAAAGGACAATGTAGCTCTGTTCATTATGAATCTTAGGAAAATACCAAATTAAAAAAAAAGGAACAGAAACAGAGAGAAGCAAGGGAAAGCGAAGACTCGAGGGGGATCATGATTGCGGAGCTAGAATATTTAGCAGCATGCAGATGATGAATAGCTCGAGGGATTGGTGGAAAGCTGGTAAGGAAGAGAGTTACTTGATATAAAGAAACTTTAGGTGGAGGGCAGGGGAAGGGGAAGTGCTTGATTGATTCGGATGTCCCACGTTTTGATGGAACTGGGGCCATTGTGCCGGTGGTTCGCCTTTGCTCTGCTCTTTCTCGCAGATTCGTCCCCACCACCACCACCTCTACCACTCCCTCCGTCTTCCTGCTTCCGACACGTTGCCACTGTGACTTCCGGAACTGGGGATTAAAAAACTTGTGATTTTTCGGTTGGGGGCCAATATAATAACTTGTAAGTTTTACAAATTAAACTGAAAGAACCATTTGCTGGTCCAAAAAAAAAACTGAAAGAACCGTTAAAAAAAATTACTACATTCTTTGAGTTAGTAAAAAATTAAATTTATTCTAAATATAAAATTTTAATTCATTTTATCTTTCAAATTTTTTTAAAATATCCTTATTAATTACATATGTTAAGGAGTTTTCAAAATAGTTATAATTAAAAAGAACACTTTAATAAAATCAATTTATATTTATTACAAATAATTACCTTAACTAATTATTTAATAAGCTGGTATTACTTATAAATATTTTTACCTTGATATTCATTCTTTTAAAAAATTAAAATTTGATATTACAAGTAGTATATTTTATGAGATTTAAACATTAAATTATAATTTACATAGTTGGAAAAAATTTATAATTTTCATGACATAAACAAAAATTGTAGAATATTAATGGTAACCTATTTTTATGATGGAAATTTTGATCTATAAAAGTTAGGTTAAATTATAAAGTATTTTTAATATTCCTGAGGCAAAAAAAAAGGTCTTTTAAATACTCCAAAAACAAAGTAAGGGGCTAAGGGCTATGACTTGACTTTGCTAACAGGCCAATCCTCTGACCTCTGACTGTAGTCTGTCCATTCGTTGGTGGGCTGGGCATCTCGGATCATATTCAAGCTTGCAACCGGATGATCCGGACCAGGTTGAAGTCGAACAATTAAAAAACAAAAAAACAAACGGCATCCATAATGCGTTGCCTGCGTGTTGTTTGGCGGCCTGGGGTTCCCAATTTTGCGTCATCGTCTTCATCCTCGTTCCTCAGTGGCCTCGGACGACATCACGACACAGTTGTGAAGCAGCCGCAGTGATTGGCGGGAGCAGCAGCAGTAATGGATCGCGATTGGGGTTCGAAGCCGGGCAGTGGAGGCGCTGCCTCCGCCCAGAACGAAGCCATCGACCGTCGTGAGCGTCTCCGCCGACTTGCCCTCGAGACTATTGACCTTGCTAAAGACCCCTACTTCATGCGCAATCATCTTGGCAGGTCTTCCCTCTCACTTCCTCTTTTAGCTGGACATCCCTACACTTTGTGTTTTTCCCTGTGCTTCTCAGATTCAATTGCTTACGGGATTCTCTTGTATTCGCTGTTTTTATATTTTGAAGCTATGAGTGCAAGCTCTGTCTCACTTTGCACAACAATGAAGGGAATTATCTGGCGCACACACAGGGTAAGCGGCATCAGACCAATTTGGCTAAGAGAGCAGCTCGCGAGGCCAAAGAGTCGCCCGCTCAACCTCAGCCCCACAAGCGTAAAGTCTCCATTCGTAAGACAGGTAAATCTTATTTACATTTGGTGAAGGGAAATGTTGTTTGGGAAATATGTTTTAGGCATCACTATCATCCTTAGCCTGGTGGCTTGGGCTTTACTTTGCTAGATTAGATGTAAATTCAAATTTATTTTAGAAAGAACGGTTTGGTTCATTCAGCGAATCAATATATATATAATCTGGATAGCTTGTGGGTACCAAATGTGTCACTATTCTTTGCTTTGGTGCTTCTTAACGCTTTGATGTGCATATAGCTTGAAATTTGACAGATTTAAGAAAAACACATTTACCTTTTTGTTTAAACCAAGCAAAATTTTCTTCTTACCATCTTCTTGAATAAATAAAATGAAACTTATTTCCTGAATATTCAATGTGTTGACAGTGAAGATTGGTAGACCTGGGTACCGAGTGACCAAGCAATATGATCCAGAGACAAATCAGAGATCTCTTCTTTTCCAGGTGTTCCGTCAGCTCAGTATTATTCTTTTATATATATAAAATAAAATTCTTTTGACATAAGATATTATTATTTTGTTTATATTTACTTTTGCCATGTGACTTAGATTGAATATCCTGAGATTGAAGACCTAACAAAGCCAAGGCATCGATTTATGTCTTCTTATGAGCAGGTAGACTCTTATTATATTATATTGCTTTTAATTTCTTCTAAATTCTAATACCTTCTCCTGCCTTTTAAGGTTTTTGCTGGTTTGGCCAACTACTAGTAATTTATTATAATGAAGTCTTACGGCATTTTTAATTAATTATGCATGAAAAACCTGTGTTAGTGTTTAGTTCTTTCACATTATTATTATAATTTCTATTCATATTTTCTTGGATACAGAGAGTGCAACCCTTTGATAAGAGATATCAGTATCTTTTGTGCGCAGCTGAACCATATGAAATCATTGCTTTTAAGGTATGTCATTGCTGTTGTGAATGGCTCACCTTTGCATTTCACTGTTTGTGCTGATTATTCTACGTTTTTAGGTTCCCAGCATAGAGATTGATAAGTCAACTCCAAAGTTTTTCTCACACTGGGACCCAGACACAAAGATGTTTACGGTCAGTGGTTTTATTCTTTGATTTCTTTCTTCCAGTGCGTTGATGCCTTGACTGTACAAGTTGATTTGTGCACATCTTTGTCTGACATTTGTGGGATCAGTAATTATGTTGATGAAGTTTCTGTTTCGATTGATGAATACATTTATAATCAACATTCCCCCCTTTGAAATAAATTTTGAAAATGAAAAGACAAGTAAACAGTATTTAACCAAATTTTATACTTCCTTATTATAAGACCCCGTTTGACAAATTATAAGACCCCAATCCATGTTTTCTCTCATATTTATACATTTTTCCAAGATAATCCTTCTAATAATGATAGTTCTAGTTAATATACTTAATTAGCAAGGATATTTTAGGAATGACACTTATTTATTACAAATAACTAAGTTATTCCTTAATCTCTTCAAATAAGTCAATAATTAGGACCGGAGGTAGTACTTGTCAAGAAAAGGAATGCTCAGGCATGTATAAGTAATATATAGAAGGTGATGAAACTTCATACAAGGATTCTGGTGTGTAAAACTTTTGCAACTATTTAAGTATACATCAATTGCCGGAGTTTGATCAAGTTAAAGCACACCTTGATGCGAACTGTGAATCAAGCAAAGGAGCTGACTGCTGATTGCTTTTATTTCTACTTTCTAATGTGAAAAATGGGGTATTACATTTTGCAGTTGCAATTGTATTTCAAACCGAAGCCGCCAGAGGCAAACAAACCCCAGCCTCCCTCAACAGCCAATAGCACAGCTGCCCCTGGTGCTCCACCAAGGCCTTTGCCTCCACCGCCTCAAGCTCCACCACCACCACCTCCTCCGCCCCAAGGCTTACCACCTGGTGCACCTCCTGGAAATCCTCCCAGAGCCCCTCCGCCTCCGATGCCTGGATCATTGCCGCCGCCACCTCCTATGTCAAATGGCCCTAGATCTGCACCTCCTGTTGGCAGTAGCACAACAGCAAGTTTCAGCATGGGTGCTAGGCCTCCATCTCTGCCACCTGGGCAAGGTTTTCCAGGACAACAAATGCAGGGTCAGGTTGGTCATCCACCACCACCACCACCGCCACCTAGAATGGGGCAGTAGGTTCGTTATGGATACTTCAATGCGAGAGCAATGTCTTTTTGGACTAATGGAACGATGCTGCTGGGTTGGCAGATTATAGACTGAGGACTGTAACTAAGCCATTTGGTCTCCCGAAACAATAGAAGAGAAAAGAAGGAAAAGGAGCTGTTGGCCATTTTAGAATTACTTGCGCGCTTTTCTTTTGATCTGCATCTTCATTGATTCTTAATACAAAGGACAAGTTACTATTACGATTTTAGATTATGAAGTCATCTAGCATTTTGCATCAGTGCCTTTGTGTGGGGTTGGAATGGAAGGGGCGGGGTTTTGAAACTAGCTCTTCCCCGGAAGCCAACGGGTGTAGATGTATTGGATTTTTATTTTTGGACGAGTATGGGTCTGTTTAGGATAGCATTCAAAAATAATTATAAACATATTTTACGTAAGTTAGAATAAAATTTTTGTTACATGTTTATTTTATATTTTGTAAATATAAATTATTCTAAACGAGTCTATATGTATTGGATTCATCGTACAATACTTGTAACAAGTCATCTATTTTGAGTTATGCATATTAACTTTGCGTTGGGTCTTGAGTGAGGGCATTATTCAGCTTTTGAACAATAATAACTTCGCCAATGATCATAAAAATTTTTATAGTAAATGTGCAATTTTAGTTTTTGAATAATACAATTGTACTCCTCCGGTCTTAATTATAAGACCCAATTGACTTATTTGAGAAGATTAAGGAAGTAAGTTAAGTTGGTTATTTATAATAAATAAGTGTTGTCATTCCTAAAATATCCTTGCTAATTAAGTATATTGGCTAAAACTATCATTATTAGAAGGATTATCTTGGAAAAAATATATAAATATAAGAGACAAAATGGATTGGGGTTTATAATTAGGACCAAATAAAAAGTCAAATGGGTCTTATAATAAGGACCGGAAGAGTATTTATTATTTTTTTATTAATAACAAATAACGTGTTAGTAAAAAAAAATAGAAAAATAAAATCAAGATAAAATTGTCTCTTTGCCTATTTTTATATGCTTTGATAGTTGATTAACAATTAATAATTAAATTGGCGGTGAAGTGGCCACCGTCGGTTTTTCCACCAGTAAGCTGTCATTAATGAAGCAATCAATCACGTCAATGAGAACTGAGTGGTTTCTTTACACCAAAAAAGTTAAAGATAATTGATGAATGGAAGATTAATGAAAAAAAGATAATAAAATATCTTTAAAAATATTAAAAGGCAAATTAGAATGAATGAATTTTTAAATTTCTAATCAGATTTCTTATACTATTTTAAATTTTTAAAATATTGTAAAATAACAACATTTCTTTTTACTCCTAGTAACTATTTTCGTATAGATATCAACTACACAAGAATAGTAAATAATTAAATAAGAGTAGTCATCAAATTTTTAAAATTGAAAGCAATCAATTGTAACACTAGAGTAGTTAATAGCTAAATAAGAATAATTATCAGAGTTTTAAAAACAAATATAATTAATAGCTTAAAAAAGAGTAGCCAATATATATAATCGTAGTCACTAAAGTTTCGAAGACTGGTAACTGGAGTTTCAGTGACATGTCATGGAGCTCTGTTGGCCAGCTGTAGGAGGGGTTGTCTGCTGGAAATCAGCCAAGGGTAGATGGAATCTTTAAAATAAAAAATAAAAAGCATTTATGTGATTTAGCAGGATTTGAAAATTTTAAAATAATACAAGAAGTCTAATTTAGGGTTTTCAAATTCACTCACATTGTTCTGTTATTTTGCAATTTTTAAGGTATTTTATTATTTTTTCAAAGATTAATTTGACATCTTTCTACAGCTTTTTTTTTTAAAAAAAAAGACTCTGTTTGGCTTTTACGACGGCTTCGGTGTTAGAAAGAAAATAAAATGACCGCTCACCAAGGGGAAAGAAAAGGACCATTCTGCTCTGATTGACTGATTTTAGTATACTTCTGCTGTCTTACTTCCATTTATAAGGTAGAAAGAGGGAAAAAAAAATTTATCCTATTTGTAAATTATTTTATTAAAATTTTAATATGAATATATTATTATATAAATAATTTTTTAAAAAATATATATTAAATAAGAATAAAATTAAAAAATTATTATATTTTATTAAAAAGATAATGCAGTTTAAAATTTTTTATATCTGTATTTTATACGTTAGAAATGTTTTTACGATAAGAGTATTTAATCTCAATTGACCGCTTCATAAATGACGGCTCACTGGAGCAAAAAACGACCGGTGCCATTCCACCGCCAATTTATTTATATGTTGCCCGCGCTTTTCTGTTTCTCTGGGGTGATCATCACGCGATGGCAGACTCTGATAGGTCTGGGCAAATATTTCTTTCTGCTCCTTAGATTTCTTCTTAGGCTTTGATCTATTTCACTCTCTTGCAGAGGCCGTCCAGGTTCCTGCGTCGTTACTCGCCGGTAATTCGTCAGAGCGGCCTCCATGGCCTCTCTCAAAGACATTGCTTAACTTTGATTATCTCTTTATTTATTTGTTCATTTTGTTATCATATTTCACTGCGCTCTGAATCTTATGGCATCGCATTTGCAGGAACCCACTCCTAGTTCTTGATTGCTGCGCGGCGGATCCCGAGGAGGACATAGGGTGCTTTTAAATTCTTGTTTGACATTCAGTGCGAAATGATAACGGAAGAGAAGTTCAAGGACGGCACTGTTAATTATTTCCTTTGCTTTTTTATTTGAATGTTTCAACGACTCGAAAACATGGCGGAAATTTTTCAAGTGATGGCATACGCAGTTCGAGCGCTAGACATAAAGGAAACCGATAAATCTTTTATGGCAAAGCTATAGAAAATTGCTACCTCTGAGATTATACCTTCTAAGGTCTCTTTTTTGATTCCGGAATATTCAGTAATTGCTGCTTGGATGGCCTGGCTTGAGATATATAACGTAGTTCCACTCCGCGTCAGATATTTATAATGATATTCTATGAATTCCAGCCAGTGCACAATTGAAGGGAGGACGGTTATGCCGCTTATTTTCAAGTAGGTAAATAAAATCCTCTCTTTATCCATCAAATTTACGCCAGGGATTTCCTTCATTTCTTGGAACCTGTTAGTTCTGGCAATTCCCTATCTACTAGTTTCACCTAAAAACCAATGTTGAATGATTTTATATAACATTCTTTGGCCTTTTCTGTTGAAGATGATTGTTCCACGGGCCTACACCAATGCAGTTGCTGTGGTAAGGGTTTGATACTCTTTCCTAGTGAACTTAGCATAGGGTAGTTCAATTTGATTATCAGATGCTTGACTATTTTTTTCTCATGCATAGGGCAGTTTGATATCTGTTTTTGCTTGAAGAAATCCTTTCTATCACAAAATGTCTAGGCATTTACGCACGTTTGTTGGGAAAGTGAAATTCTATGCATGCAGAAGTTTTTTCTGGCATGTCATTGCTACTAGATGCATCTCAGGATTGTGGCAGCATCGATCTTATGCCAATGATATGTTTAGTTTGTGTAAAACCCATGCTGATATACCGGCTGTTGAGGGGCGATCCTTGGTTTATAGTCGTTTTTTACTACAAGATCGTTTTTTTTAGCACAACAGTCCTAATTTTATAATTTATGATGGATTTGTGTATAGGACTTTTTGCTCGTTCGGTGGTGCTTTTGCATGATCCAATGGCTATGGATCAGCTGGCTTCCGATACTTTGATAGTGAGAACATATAAGCCTCGAATATGGTGCACTTTTTTCATAATAAATTATTGTTTGTTATATACCTATAGTCTTATTGCATGGCTTATGGTTAAATCTCAGCGGGAGAGGGAGAGATAATCTATTTTTAGTTTGCTTTAACTTAGCATATACAGAACAGTGCTAGCTTTCAGCTGGAACAGAAATATTGTCACCCGTCTTTCTGCAATTTTTCTTCATTCATATCGTCTCCGACTTTTGAATTACTGAAACAAGAACTTTATGTGAGAGTTGAAGCCCCAAAGGGAGAATTAGGAATTGCGAGACATACACATCTTTTTCCAATTATAAGGATTACATCCGTGGTCTCTTTCTTGGGGTCTTATTTTGTATTATCTTTAGTTTACAGATTTACTTAAACTTGAAGGCACATTTTCCCTTGTTTTGAACAATTTTCTTGATATCTTGAAATCAATTTTTCTCAGTAGATTAGTCTCAACTTTTAGCATTTATTTTCGAAGAAATAATTGCTGTTTGCAGGTTCTTTCTCATCTGGTACCTTTATTTCCAAAAAATGTCAAGTTGTTTTGGCAAGATGAGGTAATTGTTTGAGCTAGAGATTCAGTTTGAATTATATTAAAGTCTCATGTTCTGCGTGATATAAGGGAGGAGTTTAGCTAAATGCATAGTTTATGCTTAGTTCTATATGCACGGAGAGTTGCGGTACCAGCAAGATTAGTTTGCGATAAAGATTCAAATAGTATCTCCAGCTCTATGGTAATACTGCTTTCTTTTTTCTTTTTCTTTTCTTTTTTGGTAAAAAAGAATTTTTTTAGGAGAAAAGAAAACAATGCAAAATGGAGATCTAGCATTCAAGACTAAAGGAAAAAGCTTTATAATCTTTAGCGCAGCCTAGCTTTCTGTCTGATCGCAAATCCATAACAGACGTCCTTTAAAAAAAGCTAAAGAACATTAGCTAAATTAAATTAGTATTATGGTCGAAGTCATCAACGCATAAAGTATTTCATAGTTCTTCTAGAATTACTTTCTCTTGCATGAATATAAGTTGATTTAAATATTGAAGCTTTAAATGCTAGCTGCGACCTCATGCACTTGCAGGGGATTTAGGTTTTTTTTTTTTAAAAAAAAAAAGATGTAAAAGAAAATCACTTAACAATCACATCAATAAATAGTATTATACTCACCCATTCTACTTTTCTGTAGAATATTGATTGCATTTTTATTAGCTTCTATTATCTTTTAAAACACTTAAGTAAGCAGACAGTTTATCAGATCTAAAACCTCTTTATTTTTCTTAGCTTATTTCACTAGTCATTTGTAAATTTTATTAACGAATCAACCAAAGGCTTCATGAGTTATTATTTGCCATGTTCTGCTTTCTTGTGTTGGTCACAAGTTTGAGAATTTGATCTCAAATCCAATTGTAATTACTTGTGTGCTTGGCAAGCTCTGGATTCCAAAGATGAAGTCATATGTCAGCGCTGAGGACTTGAAACAGGATCCATCTTATCAAGATACTTGGGATGACATGATAATTAATGTGAGTGTGATTAACTTCTGAAACATCCCGTGTTTTTCTTATTATTGTTGTAATATTTAAAAAGATACTACCTCCGGTCTTTAATATAAGAACTAGTTGAATAAATTAATTTGAGTAAATTAAGAAAATTAGTTAAGTTAGTTTTTTGTAATATATATGTGTTTTTTTCCCTAAAATATCCTTCCTAATCAAATATATTAACTAGAACTACCATTATTACAAAGATTAACTTGGAAAAAAATATATAAATATAAGAAACAAAGTGGACTTGAGTCTTATATTTAAGATCAAAATAAAAATCAAACGAGCTTTTATATAAAAGACTGGAGGTAATATTACATTTTGGTCAAACTTTCTGTTGAATGCATGAGATGTTTTATTCAGGTAAATGGGATTCCTTAGAATGTTTTGCAATTCAGATTATGTTTCATTAGGTCAATGTAAACAACCAATGGAGTTGCTGAAGTGGTCAAATATATTTCTGAAATTGATACACTTTTTAAAGTCGGCAAATTGATAGGTGATTATATTTATTGTGGTTATGAAAATAATGATCATATAAAATTCAAGTTTTGGACATTATGCGGGAAGTGATGTTAGTCCCTTCTAAAATGCTAGAGATATTTATAATTTTATATATCTTTTCTGTTACAGTTTCTTGCTGAATCTTTGCATGTGATTGAATATGAGCTCTCTATGCACCTGACGATGAACATGCTGCACTTCTTCTCAGGTATCAATGCGTTCTTAATTAAATCTAGTAAAAGCTTGACATACTAGATATTGCTTTCTACCTTGTTTTAGAAGTTGATTGCTTCAAATGTTGAATAATCAATAAAAACATAATATGGGAAAGTTATTGGGGTTTGTAATACTAAGCTAAAGGTTTGCTAGGGCATTAGGGAATGTCAGTTGATTCATCACAATTTGTTTGACATCTGTACCTTTTTATATGAGACAGATTGCTTGTGATTTATCCAAGACTTAGTAATTTGCTTAATTCTTAATATTTTGAAGCTGTATTCTGTAGAAAAGAAATTTAGCGATCGTTGGTTTGTCACAAAGATATTGCATCACTTCATTACAGTTTTCACTCTTTATGTTTCCCTTTCCAACTTCTTTCTGCATAACAGGAGCAAGAAAACCGAGTAATTCTAATGTCCTCCTGAGCACATTGAGAATAATTATGTATGAGCGTTTAAAAAAATTGCCTTGGGTTATCCATGACATGATTTAAGCTGCAATAGATGCGATGATACACAGATCAAACCCAAACTTTATATTATAAAAAGAACAGCTTTAAATGCAGTGGGAAGAAATGGATATAAGGCGAAATCAGGCCATGAATCTTTACAAACTAAAGAAGATAAAATTAAACCCACATTTTCCACCCAATGGTTCAAGCTTTGAAGCAAATTGTTAGGGTCATCTACCTTAGAATACTTACAATATCAGATAAAACCTCTTCCCAATAACACAATCACCAAGGTCGCTATGGCCCAGCCAGCCACTTACATCCAACAGCGTGCACAAAAAATAGAGGGGCCCCCGGGGGGGGGGGCCCTAGCAAAGGGGATCAATCGACTTTAACCTGTCATTGCATTTGGTGGGAACACTTTCTGAATAAATTCCAAGAAGCGATGTGAGTAGAAAGTAGGGTCCACGGCTGAGATGGATAATGAATCAAACTGAAGAGATTTATACGCATGTTCAATTTTCTTAGTCATATTGTAATCTTGCAATATGTCAATGATGCCCAGGTACAGAACAACATCATACACCTCATGGAACATTTGTTTCTCCTGTTTTCCTGGAATCAGTTCTGCCCTCGCTGGCATGTTGACACCTAGCTGGATTTGAAGTCTGCTCAACAAGTTGCGAAGAGGGGGAAAAAAAACTTCAGTCTCCAAAATTTCATACAGATTATCTTTCTAGCAAGAAGGAAAAATTTTGATCCCAAGTGACGTGAATAGGTACCAAAAAGAACAAAACAAAAATGAGAGATCATTTTCATAAGGATTAGCTCCATTTTAGCATGTAGCAATAGTTAGGAATCTCATAGCCTTTTAGGATCCAGTAAGACTCCAGTCACCGAAAAGACCATGAAAAGTTGATGTTTGCAGTTGAATTTGTGGTAAGGCATCCCATGTACTGTGGAATTAAAGTATCAAGTCCCAGACTTTGAAAAATATGTTCAAAAAAAAGTTTTGGTTACAGAGATTAAAACAACAGTGAACACAATTTTCTCTATATTTTCCGAACACACTTGACAGGATAGCAAGAGCACTGGGACACAAGGAATTCTTAGCAAGGCCATTTGAACGTGTACAGAAACCATACCTTGCTGTACCAGGCAGAAGGAGATCTACCTCCTCATAGCCAGCAGCTGAAGCTCGCAAACGGCTACCCCTTATGTGTGAACCCACAACAACACTACCATCATCTTCTCCCCGAGGGACCAGAACAAGGCCTTGTGGGTAGTTGGATGCTTCATCCTCTAGAGGGTCTGTCAGTTGATCAGGAGCAGTGCATCAAATTAATTAGTTTCACCTTTCAGGTCCTACCAGAAAAGCAAGAATAGATGACATGTATAGGGGGAAAATATTCTGGTAATATGGGAACTAGTACCCCTAATAATTTGGACGTGAAAGTGATACTTGTGCTATATGGCAAGTGAGTGTTTTAGCCCAGATTTCTTAAAATTGTTGGGTCAATCAAAGGCCAACCAGGACCACAAGTAAATGTCCCTGTGAGAATTAATCACCTTTACTGCCTAATGCTTAAATAAGTAGTGCTTCTATCGTCTGCTGGTTACACTTAAGGTTGGGGCATGACATTGTCCTTCCATAGTAGTCATTCGTTTCACTCGAGTCTCGGGCAGATCATCATGCATCATTCCCAAAGATATTGCTAAAAAGTTGACTCTTTTTAACAGGTTTAGTATAGGTTACTTTCATTTCTACCAGCATAATCGTTCTCCTTTTCCTTCTTCTTGTCCTTCTTCTGCTTTGTAACTTCAGACTTGTTTATTAATGAGAATTGATCTTTTTATCTATATATATATATATGATCATTCGCTTCACTTGATAATTTCTTATTGTTTGCGAACTTCTAAATGACGAGGCCTCAAATCAATTGCAAGCCGTGATTTGAATTACGCAAGAAGCATGTAAAGCCAGACGTTGTATATCTGTTTTCATGAATCGAATCGAACGCTTACCTTCCTCTGCAAGCATTGCTAGTCCATCTGTATTGATGCTTCGGCTGTGGGACAGAAGAGAACGCAGGTGTTGAGGGGCTCGATAATGTACACCAAGGAGAAGGCTGTAATCCATAATGTGCTGTGCTTCCAAAAACTTGCTGTCTGTTTCAATCTGCCTGCAGAAAAATAGAGGAAATATCCCATATTTGCTGGTAAGGTCCAGGCTTCAAAATTCGGCCCTTTTGGCAGTTGTTACTTCTAAAAAGCAAAAATTTATGGGGGAAAGGGAAAAGATCCATTTCGTGACAAAAAATACGTAGTTATAACATACAACATCAAAATATGTGTGCGAGTTACGCTGATCCATGGGACAATCGCTTCAAGAACCCATAATGTGCAGTATAATAAGATATATGTACTCCTCCGGTCCTTATTATAAAACCCAATTTGACTTTTTATTTGGTCCTAATTATAAGACCCAAATCCATTTTGTCTCTTATATTTATGCATTTTTTTCCAAATAATCCTTCTAATAATGATAGTTTTAACCAATATACTTAATTAACAAGGATATTTTAGGAATGACAACACTTATTTATTATAAATAACCAACTTAACTTACTTCCTTAATCTCCTCAAATAAGTCAATCGGGTCTTATAATTAGGACCAAAGGAGTATTTGTTTTCTATTTGCTCTTCTGCTCTTTGTTGCTTTGTCTAAGGACAATATTCCATTCTTTTTTCCCTCTCTAATATTCTCGTCTTGAAAATATGCCAAATGTAATGGAGAAATGTCAGAAGGTTTTTTAAACTGCCGCTTACTTTAACAAAGACTCTCGCCAAGATGGTTCCAAGTAAAAGCAGTAGTTCAGATCCAAATCTTTAAGAGTGGTATTCTCATCAATTTCTATCTTGTCTGACGAGCGTCCAAGGGATGATCCTTTTAAATCAAACCTCCGATGGATCCTTAATTCTGTGCAGAACATATTTCCCATCACAACAAAGCGAAACTGCACAACCAATTTATGTACATCCATTAGCCTCTTCACAAAGGAAACAGATTATGAAAAGTCATATTGCATAAAATGTGCAAATTATGATAGGGTCCAATTTTTTTATGTAGTAAATAACATGCGTATATTAAAAATTCTAGATTGCAAGTATTAAGGCCAAAGTCCTTTTATTAACAATTATTGCTATGACCCTGAAAAGCGACACAGAAAAATGCTGCTGAATCAAAATCAATGTTACCTTCTGTCCACTTGAAGGTTTAATCCTGTGAAGACCAAAGAATTTTGTGATGAGTGTGTTCTCATATGACTTGACATGATGATGATAGTCTGGAAGCATTCGTAGAAGAACCTACAAGTCAATTTTCTGTCACTATTATCTGAATTTTACAACCAATAAAAAGGAACTAGTAAAGAGCAAGTCAATATCATTGCCAAATATGCATACCACAAATTGTTTCCACAAGTATTATAAAGTTTGTTTTCCATTTCACATAAAAACAATGTCATAGACTTATAGGAGATTATTTCTATCACTTGAAATTATACCATAAAAAGATCAATGTGGCCAGAATTTACCACGCAACCTGTGAGTGGTGGTTGAAGAGGATTAAGCTCACGAATTGTCAGTGGGTGCTTTCTAATGAATTGCTTTGCTTATATTTTTTCTTCCTTATAATTAATTTTTCATTTGCAAAGTTGCGCATACTAGAGACTTTGCTTTGAAATTTCCTGAATAATCTAGTGGTCAACCTACACAGACATGGCAGCTTCCTGAATTTCTACAGATTTACTATTTTGCCTTCAATTTTCTGTCTTCCTCCAAAATATTGAACTAAGGTTTCTTAATCAATGACCATGAAATGTGAAGAGATTATGACTGTTTCATACAGTTAGATGTGTTTGCTACACAGATAAAACAAAGCTACAACAAGAAGAATTTGAATGCACCCTCCTTGAAACTTGCAATCTGTACTGGAGAAGAAAATTATAACATCCAGCAACTGTTTAAACAAGTATTGAGTCCCTTAAAAAACTGGGGGCAGATTAATTCTTTTCCAAAGTATATTCTGCCATTCTGCAGCACATATTGATTTCTAATTCCACATTTTCTATCTATCAAAAAGCCAATAGGTGAACTAAAGCGCAAAGGATGAATAAAATGGGGTCCACTAAGGACAGAAGAAAATTAAAATGAGATATCCACAACATGAAATGATGAAATATTCCATACATAATGCTTTTTAGGGTAAATAATTATAGGTTAAGGTACATCCAGCACCTCAAAATATTTTGTGGTGCATCTGGCACTCCGAAATATTTTTCAGTTGTATCCAATACCTTGAAGTGTTTTTTTTTTTGCCTTGGTGCTGGACACACCTAAAAAAAAAAAAAAAACTTTGAAGCGCTGGATGCACCTAAAAAAAAAGTATTGAGCGCATGTAAAAAAATACTTTAGGATGCTGGATACACCTAAGAAAATACTTCCAGGTGTTGGATGCACCTTAACCCAATAATTATTAATACAAGAATGTAAAATGTAAATAATTGAACACACCTTTACTTCAGATCTCCTCAGTGTCTTGATCATGAAACGATCATCTTGGGACAGGAAAAAGACACTACCACTTTTTCCCGGAGAAGATAGTTCTCTGAGCGCATCATTTCCACATATGGACATCATGTAGTCAGCAGCATCAATCTTAAACAACTCCCTCAGATTTCTGCAAGAGGTCATAAGGAGGTCAATTATAACAACCATACCTAAAACTAGAACGAGAAAATAGGGCCTGTGACAGCTATCCCTGCCAATGAATAACCATAATTAGAAAGCGTGAAAGGTCAACCGCCATGGTTGCAATTAAAGTTCTCTAATTGTTGTTTGCCTTTTCTTTTTTGTCAGTAATCCTGAAGAAAGAGAACGTATGATTATTGTTTTTTACATCCCAACAAACTCATCAAACCAAACATTAAGTCACAAAATATCCAATACCAGTCAAAGCATAACTCAGCATCCAGTGATCCTGCCCAGATTAATTTATCAGCCCAACGAAAATGTGCACATTAAGAGAGCACTCAGAAAGTACCCATGCAGGTGATGCAAGAATTCAACTCGTCCATATGATTCAATAAACAAGTACATGGTTATGATTTACTGTTGAACTTCACACTTGCACTCATGTCACAAGGGCACTGTAATTGTATACAAGAAAGATGAAGGAAATTTATGGCGCACAAGATGACATGCAATGTTTCGGGTTTGCTGGCTCCATACATCCTTTTTCCCTTCAGAATAGATTGTCTGGACTTCTTGGTTAGCCTCGGGCCAACAGGTACACGCAATTTGGAGCAGTTTCTCTCTCACTATACACTATAGAGATTATGACTAAAAGGAGGGAGGGCCAAAATTCTGTAGCAGTATGTAGATTTTTACACTTCTATGGTGTACTTGGCTGGTGTGGGATGCTTGCATCTTCAAGGGCCTATCTCTGCCCCCACATAACTTATGAAATAGAATTGTGCTTAAGGCTTACTCATGTTCTGCTCATGGTTGAATCAGGGGGCTTTCATTTCTCATGTGCACGGATATTTCATAGCTTTCTTGCTTTCTGTACCCAATTTCGGCTCTTCATTTTCTTAGTTTTAGTGTTTTTAAGAGTACCCTGTCTTTACACCAGTTATATCTTTTCGCTGCTCCTTACTGAAATCCTTATGCAATCCAAAAATAAAAATAAATGTAATGACAAAAAGCCTTGGGACAATTCCAACCCTGGGGATAAGATAGAAAATTAATAATAACCATAGAAAATACTAGTGGTATATCAAACTTCTTAACTTTGAGAGAACAGCATAAAAACTGAAGAATCAGCCATGCATGTGATGATGCGATCTATATTAATACTGTCCATTTGTAAGCAGTGATAAGAAGTAATTATTCTAAACAGGTGCTGGAAGCGTGAATACTGTATACATGTTCTCCCCTTATCCAAGAAGTCAAAAACATCTTGTCCAGATCTACGACGAGCCAAGAGTGACTACTTAATTCAAGAGCCAAAGCAGCTTACCAAATCTAGATAAATTTACATGCATGCCTGGTAAGTAAATAAATTATACAAAGGCTACTTAAACAGTCATGGCTTAAAGTTACAAAAGGATTAACTGCTAACCTGAAAACCATTGGACAGTAATCTTTCCATTTAAAATCCTCCGACTGATGAGGAGGTGTCAATTGGGAACCTTCTCTGGGAAAATTCATCCAAAAGCTTGCTCTGGGACCAAAATCTGACATGCGGACTTCTCGTCTCTGTATGGGTGTAATCTTTCCTACTGTATATCTAACCACAGCAAAATGCATTTTTACATCAGCAATGGAAAACCATGCAAGTAAAAACAAATAAAAGATAGCACCAGGATAACTATTTAGCTTCTGGCTTTAGTATGAAAATGTGCCTCTAATGCTTATGGTTGCCTCCTAATGCTCTGGTACCCAAATCAGCAAAAGCAAACAGGATATGACACTTGAGTTCTACTGTAGAAGTAGGGAAACACGAGAAGCAAAAATCTTTTGACCCGAGGTAAATGCCTACTCAGTATTCCTTTCTCAAAACGAGGATTTTAATAATTACATTTTTCCTCCGCGCTGCAGTGGGGAGGTGATCTTCATAGTTTGTTATTCTTTTGCACTGGATCACTAATTTATAATAGAAATGTAGAGTTCAAAGAGAGAAAAGTTGAAGGCAGAAAATAAATATCCTCAGTCTCTTTTGGAGTCAAATACCTCCGATCTAAATTGCTGGTCCCGACAAGGGAAAAGTAACATGACCTCTGACACAGTTAAATATGTCCATAAGGAAGACCTATTGATATCACTTTGTTAAGATCTCCTCCTAACAAAAGTTTGTCTAGAAGCGCCACTGATAAATACACACGCATATAGGAGTATGAAACCAAAACTGCGAGAGCTGCAACACCTCAGAATGTTTGCATATGCATTACGTTAAA